TTTTCTATAACAGGATTTATTCAGCAAGGATGAACATTGTCTCCACAGTTCCATCCTGGTTAATGAAATTTTACTACATTCTGGGAATCTTACACAACTGGTGGGGCAAAAGTCATTCTTCACCACAGCTGGCAAAACCTCTGCCATTCCTTTTTCTGTTTACCAAGTACCTAGTATTTGCACTAATGCAGCAGAGATTAAGTATAGTATTTTCCACATTTGGTCTTCATTTCCTTTTTAACTTGAGTAACCTCAGGTGTTGGTTTGTCCAGGACAGCCCCCATTTATGCCTGTCTTACTGGCACAATTATCAATAACACTGTGTCACTCTCAAAAAATGTCTCAGTTTGAAAGATATGGTCACCCCTATATTTAGCTGATGTGTGATTTCTTTTAAGGCTAAGCCAAAAAACCAAGAACTTATTCTCAAACCACTAGTAGTACTTGTGCAGTAGTGGTATGGGGGTAGTAAGGATGACAGTGTGGGGAAAACTCCCTTCCCCACCAAATATAGAATTATTTGGCATAATGGCTCTTAAATAACCAATATTTGAGCACATACCAAATGCCATTGTTATATAGGCACTTAGCATGAGCCATTTTATCTTCACAATTGCCATGTAAGATAGATACTGCCATCTCCATCTTACAAGTAAGTGAACTGAGGCACTGAGGGTTTAAGTAAATTGCCCCAAATCAATCATCTAATAAGTAATAGAGCTGGAATTTGAACCCATGCAGTCTGACTCCAGAGTTCACATTCTCAACAACTACACTCTCCAAGGAAAATGACATTAAGGGAGTGGTGTGAAAACAAGGGTCAGTTGAAGACAGTTGAAGTGTCACTGGACAGATAGTGAAATGAGCAGAGAAGACTGCTCATTCACTGAAGGGCAGTGCCCTTGTAATTTGTTTGCCTCCCCTTCTGGGGAAAGGCAGGGGAAAGCACCAAAAGAAATGGCACAGCCCAACCTGAACTTACCGGTTCAAATGTTAGCTTTAGCAATAATGATTGAGGAAAGTGAGTCAAGTAACTTGCCCAGTCAAGTAACTTCACCCTAGCAAGCTTTGAAGGCAAGATTGAACCTACTTCCTCTGATCTCAAGTCCTCCAACTGCAAATACAGTACATTGAGAAGGGATTTCTTCCCAATTTAAGAACCACATGGGTATTATGAATGTGGAAAATTAAGGTGAGGGACCTGTGGCAGGATTTGTGCTTTCTTAACCATGAGCAAGCATCTAGCCTCCCTTTGAGATTAGCTGCAGGAATAGGTTGCCAATTCCAGAGCATTGTGCAACAATTTATCTTTCTCCATAGCTGAATCATCTTGCCACATTGCATAGGGTACTTGGATAGTGTTTCCAGTTTAGAACCATTCAGCCGTTTGTTACTAGATCAGAAAGGACACATGAAACAAGACCTTTTCATGTCATCCAAGTAGAGTCCAGAATTTAGGGTGTCAATTGGCCAGTCTATCTCCTGCCCTCTTTCCGCTGCCTATCCCTGAAGGCCCAGGACAAGTCCCATTTCTCCTTATGTTGCCAGTCATCATTATCTCACCTTTCAGTCAAGTCCTCTAGCTTCTCCTGTCTATAAACATGTGCAGTTTTCTCTTTAAAAAATTTCCGGGCTCTGACGTCCCCTCAGGCTGTTAGACTAACTCTTTCCTTTCACAATCACAGTTTTTCAAAGAGGAAGCTACATTTAACTGTTTGCTTCACTTCTTAAACCCCCACAATCTGGCTTTCTCCCCTGCCTCCATAGGGCACCAGTGAGTTTCTAATGGCCAAAAGGGGTCTTTGACCATTCCTTGTCTTCTTTCTGACATCTTTTTCTCCTCTCAACCCTTATACACAGGCATTTCCAAAAATGACACTCTTCTTCCTAGCTCAGAGGTCCTCACCAGGATGTAGGGTAGGTTTTGTGACATGATCTGATTTACTTATTTTTGGAGGCTCACTCTGGTGGCTGCAAAGATAATGGACTGTAGGGCAGCAAGAATGGAAGCAAAGCCCAGGTAGATACTGCAGAAAGTTCAAGTGAGAGATAATAGTATCCAGACTATAGTGGTGGAAGTACAGTGTGAGAGAAGTGAATGTGTCCAAGGCACGTCTTTGACGTAGAACCAATGGAAATTGCTGATGGACTGGATCTGCAGGTGAAGGAAAGGAAGAAACCCAAATAACTCCCAGGTTTCTGACTTAGGCAACTGGATAGATGTTGGTATCTTTACTGAGCTATGAAAGATAGAAAAGGAGTGGAAAGAACTTGGATGGGGAAACTGGGAGCTTGGTTTTGAAAATGTTGGATATGACTATTAGGCATCCCAGTGGAGAAAGCCACATCCCTTGGCTATATCAGCCACTCTTATGACTTCAGCTTTCTCCTCTTTATATGGAAAATGTGTGTGTGTGTGTGTGTGTGTGTGTCACTGCAATCGTTTAACCCATTAATTTCTGAAACACTTTTCAACACTTTTAAAATCAGAATCCATGTCCATTCTGTCCTACTGTATGAGTTCTTCCTCCCGATTGCCCTCTTTCTTATATTGCTACCTCTAGCCTTCTCCTTACCCAGAGTTTACATTTAAGAGTTTTCAGCAACCCTTTTCCATCTTCCTCCCTCTCACCAATATCCAAGTAATAAAGAAGTCCTGTTGAACCTATCCTGTACATTATTTCTCCTTTGTTCCCATTGCCCCCACCCTAGTTTTAAATCATTATCACTTCTTATTTGGACCATTGTGGCACTCTAACTGCCCCTAGCCTTTTAATGACTAATCTTTCCTACACACTGCTACTATAGAAATCTTTTTTCCTTACTATTTCTGTCTAAATGTGTTTTCTCATTTCCCACAGAATGTAGTCTATTCTCTTTAGCCTGGTATTCAATGTTCTTCATAATCTGGCCCTTTTAGCTAAACTCGAGTAGAATTTCTCTTTTGTGTTTTTGTTTGTGCTGTTCATTCTAGTCAGCATGCCTTCTCCCGGCTCCTATCAAGCAAAATCTTACCCACCTTCTAAGACCCTCTCAAATGCCACCAAGGTGAATTCTAGTTACCATTTATTAAACACCAGTTATTTAGTACTTAATACTTATTTATTAAGTAGTCTAAGCACCCTACATTCATTGTCTGACTCTGCATTGCCTTTGGTTTCTTGTGTATTTGCCCCATCTTCTGTATAAGAATGCAAATTCCCTGAGAGCAGAGATCACATTATAATTTATCTTTGAATCCTCAACTGCACTGTACACTTAATATCAGATAAATGTTTGATGAATGAACAACTGCAGACCTTTTAACTAGTTGCTATGGGAAGATACAAATAAAAGAAACATAAGATCTTACATTCTGGTTACAGAGCACATCACCAGAACACCCCCAAGATTTTCAGAATAAGTATTGAAGGGATACAAAATGGAGGGTGAACAAAGTTATATCATAACACAAAGTCATCCTGGAGGAATCAAGTTTATATAATAACGGGAATGTAAAAAGGCTTCAGTGTCAGACTGACCTAATTTTGAATTCCTGCTTATCTGCTTGTTATTTTATTTATTTTATTTTTTTTTAGAGACGGAGTCTCGCTCTGTCTGTCGCCCAGGCTGGAGTGCAGTGGCCGGATCTTAGCTCACTGCAAGCTCCGCCTCCCGGGTTTACGCCATTCTCCTGCCTCAGCCTCCTGAGTAGCTGGGACTACAGGCGCCTACCACCTCGCCCGGTTAGTTTTTTGTATTTTTAGTAGAGACGGGGTTTCACCATGTTAGCCAGGATGGTCTCGATCTCCTGACCTCGTGATCCGCCCGTCTCGGCCTCCCAAAGTGGTGGGATTACAGGCTTGAGCCACCGCACCCGGCCTTATCTGCTTGTTAAGTATGTGATTTTGAACAGTCGTTTCTCTCTCTAAACTGCATCTGTAAAATGGGTGTATTGCAACCTCCTTTATAGGACTGTTGCAAGGATGAAATGAGATAATATATCCAATGTGCATGTCACAATCTTCAATAAATGTTTAAAGTCTAAAAAGCAAGCCAGATTTTAAATATAGTAAGGATATTGGGTTGTCCCAGTGGTGTTAGTAAGTCAGTTTAGGTTGCCATGAGAATTGAGGGCCTGAGCACTGGCCACCTTGTTTCAGATCATAGCGGCCTCCAGGAACCTCCAAATGCTGATGGTAATTCTAAAACCACCTCAGATAGTCTTAAACTGGACCCTCACACCAAATCTAAAATATTTCCCTAAGCTGCAGAAACAAAAGGAGGTAGGAGGAGAAGAGCTGCAGTTGCCAAACACCACTGCTTGCAACCTTCCTACCACATTAATGTTCAAGGAGTTACATTTGACATCATTGCTCGATTGGAATCTACCAAGCAATTTCCACTGCACCAGCCAGTCTCTTGGGAAGGTGCTATCAGATTTGCCAGAGTAAATTATTGAGATTGTCAACTTTCATGTGGACATGGATAGTTAATGATGAAAAGAAATGAACTACAAAATTACATCACAGAATTTACTTTGTAAACTTTTCAAACCATTTGTGCCATTAAATAGCGCCCCCACCAAAAAATAAAAATAAAAAAAAGCCTATCCTTAGGATAGGCAGCTGATGTAACTGGATGGTGGGGGCTCTAGGTGGCCACATTCTATCTGTGTTTATATGGTTAAATGGATGAAATAGATGTGTTTGCAGATTGAAACAATTCATAAAGAGTTGAGGCTACTTTTTTTTTTTTTTTTTTTTTTTTTTTTTTTTTTTTTGAGACGGAGTCTTGCACTGTTGCCCAGACTGGAGTGCAGTGGCTCGATCTCGGCTCACTGCAAGCTCCGCCTCCTGGGTTCACGCCATTCTCCTGCCTCAGCCACCCTGTTTTTTTTTTTTTTTTTTTTTTTTTTTTTGGTCTTAGCGCTAAAACTCAAAATCGCGGTTATTTTAGTGGTTAGCCCGGACTCTTCCGTTGCTCAAACCTCTGGAAACTACATCTCCCAGCATGCTGTGAAACTGGTCTGACTTCATCTCAAATGGCCCCGTAGGGCAACAAGGATGGTTAGTTTTGACCCTATTTATTTGTGCCATAAAACAATCGATCCTAATTGACAGCTATTTGGACTTTTACATCTGCCAAACCCTTTTTCTTGAACTGTGGTCGCTAAATGAGGGGAGTCTGGTCTGGGAAGTCCCATCTATTCCTTCAATAGGATGGGGAGTGGAGATAGTGTCTCCGGCGATCTCAAGAATAGGAGGGAATGTTGACCAGGGAGCACCGCTGCGGCCGATCAGAGGAGCAGGAACTGGAGCCCAGGCCGAGTCCGAAAAAAGCCAGATCTGGAAGGTGCCTGCGGAACGGTTTTAAGTGGAAGATGGAGGAGCCGGAGGAACCGGCGGACAGTGGGCAGTCGCTGATCCCGGTTTATATCTATAGTCCCGAGTATGTCAGTATGTGTGACTCCCTGGCCAAGATCCCCAAACGGGTAAGGGAAGTCGGGATGAAAGACCATGGGCTTTTGTGGTGGGGGTGGGGGCAGTGGACGAAAGAGCGTTAGGAAGCGGAGAGGACACTGGGCTGGGGGAAATCTTCAGAAATTTCGAGTAGCTGTATCAGATACCTAAAGCTGTATCAGAAGGAAGTGTTCTCACATTGTTTCTGAGACCGCAGCATGTCTCTGCGGGACGCCCAACGGACAGGTAGGAGTGGGGGAGGGGGTACGGAGGAGGGGAGAGGACGCAGTTTCCACTCCTAGGGGACCACTGAAGTCGTGGGAAAACAAGCTGCAGGGGGAAAGTGTTCCATCACCTACCTAAGGCCTGGTAGCTTTCACCTTAGAGATTTTGATACTTTGTATCTGTATTGTCTAAAGTGTATTGTAACTGTTAACAGAAGGGAAGCCAGTTGAAACAAAGTTAATCCGTTCCTTTGTTCAGGATAATGAGATTGACGGGGATTTTGCTGAATTAAACTTTTAAGACTATTTCTGCTTTCCCCCCCCCCCCGATGTTTTTAGGCCAGTATGGTACATTCTTTGATTGAAGCATATGCACTGCATAAGCAAATGAGGTAAGTTGTCTTTCTTGAACGTAGCCCTGAAGCTAGGTGTTCGTAGCCTTAATACCCTGCTTCACAGTGGAGCAAGGAAGAGAACGGTCTCTTGAAAAAATTATTTTAGCTTTCTGTGAGAGTATTCACAGTGTTTGTAATCTGCCTGTAATCCCAAGAAAGCTCTTGAAGAATTAAGAAAACTTGGGGGGCCAGGAGCATGGCTCATGCTTGTAATCCCAGCATTTTGGGAGGCCTAGGTGGGTGGATCGCCTGAGGTCAGTAGTTTGAGACCAGCCTGCCCAACATGGCAAAACCGCGTCTCTACTAAAAATACAAAAAAATTAGCCTGGTGTGATAGCAGGCGCCTGTAGTCCCAGCTACTCGGGAGGCTGAGGCAGGAGAATCGCTTGAACCTGGGAGGTGGAGGTTGCAGTGAACAGAGATTACACCATTGCACTCCAGCCTGGGCAACAAGAGTGAAACTCTGTCTCAAAAAAAAAAAAAAAAAAAAAAAAA